TGGATTTCCTTCTTACAGTGCTAGACATTTTAATCGCTTGTTATGGTTGAGAATAATTAGTTTCACAGGTGGTCATGTTTGGGTTGGTGAAACTGACCTTGAGTTTTACCCACACCGAACATCCTGTTTGTGCGCGGGATTCTCGTGCGCAGCTCGTTCATTGGCGTTTGATTAGTTCCTTAGTGCTCGCCAAGTACTTCGAAGCGAGCCACCCAGTTTCCCCCTTTGCAAAACAACGAATATACTATGGAAACTCCCACGGTCAGCTAACCCAAACATGTCTGTGATTTTTGCATTTAATACGTCGGCAGTCCTTGCTAAAAGTAGAAGAAAAATGGCAGCAGTAGCAGCAGCAGTAATAATAAAAAGAGAGAAGAGTCCAGAGTCTCAGTACTTCTCGTTAAAAGCCAAGCGAGTGGTAAAGACCCCCCAACAATTCCTACAAACTCTTTTCGTGCGATTATAAAATGGCAGTTAATGGCTGATGTTGGTGGTTACGTCAGATCATCGTCATGTTCTGCTCTTGCAATAGCTTGCAGCCATATATCTCCTTGTAATTGCAAGGCAGGTTATGGTGAGAATCTCAATGTTCGTAGCCAGCTGTGTAGTGGATTAACACTGACCGCCTTGCCGCCATGTCAAAATTACAGCTGCATATAATTCTGAGCCCGATCTGTAAATTTATAATATGTTGCCTACCATCGCAGATCTCATCCCAGCCCAGTAAATTCTGATTTTCTCTTAATAGCCACACTGTTTCTGTCAGCAGTAGGTAGATGTAGACCTTTCCGTGTCCATTAGTGACGACGAACTCACTGTACTGCTCAAAGTTCTTGATCTTGATGACGTGTGCTCCCCATCCTAAAAAATTGTTACAGTGGTGTGACAGCTTGCTCGAGAGACGCTAAGGCGCACGCGATAGAATACGCAAAGGCAACGCTTCCATCAGATATCAACTTCTAAGCTTCGCTGCACTTAAATCTTTGTGTTAACCTCTCTCGTGCGTGTCCCATTTTTCCTGATCTGACAATTTGTTATCTAAGTTTAATTTTGTCTCTGCTGTGAAAAGACAAAATATAGGTACTTTTGGAAAGTGTTCATTGTCCCCACGGGAAAGCAGCGTACTATATTTATATCAAGGTTTTTGAGGTTTTCTTTCAACTGTGACCAATAAAAATATGTAATACGAAGATAAGTTATACTCTAATCAAAGGAATAAGGTGCATGTGATCGAGTTGTGCCAACTTGTGCGTTACCATAGCTGCCTTTCTCATCGCCATTCTGTGCAAGTGCGTAGTGACACCGGAACAGAATGCTATGATAACTTACAAATTCATAACATGTTCGTCTCTTCTCGGTGCATTTATGGTGTGTCCTGGAAACTGAAATGACGGAAGGTAAGAAAATAGTATTTGGGTGTAAAAGGAGTAGAGTCAACGTCCTCTTTAACAAGAGCGTAGAGGACGAACTCAAAGTCAGAAGAGGAAAAACTTGAGACATTACAGTGATCAGATTACGGCACTAAGGTGGTGTGTCTACAGCCCTCCCTCTTAGTTCCCTTCAACCTAAATTCACTATCCTTACCTCAGACTCTTCCCGAAGCCGTCTGATAGTCTGATCTTTGATAAAGTTTTCCGATTCAAGCTCTCTCACTCGAATTTTCCACTTTTCAAGTTCTTCCTCCTATATATGGACAAAATCCAAATTGCACAAAACTTCAGCAATGGCAGATTTGTATGCTGAGTGCTTAAAAAGCAAACTACTTCTGATTGATCCCGCACAAATACCATCATTGACTCACCATATTTGATAGACGGGTGCTGAGGTGAAAGAGGTTCTCGTCTTTTAGCCTATTAGATTCCTCGCAATTTTTTAGTGAGTTGCAAACATCCGTCATTTCTTTTGCCTGAAACGAAAAGATGAATCAATGTAAATGTTAAATTTTCTCTCTCTAGTCTCTTTTGGGGTTTGTCTGCCGAAGCAAATTATTTCCTCTAGATTACCACCAACGTTTAATGGTGTCGTTATTTTTTCCTGTGCCTCCCCTACGATTTTTCTTTTTTCATTTTTTGCTCTGGATCGCGTGTACACGTTTTCTGTGATCTTCGCAGGAAGATGTATCGTTACATGATGGTTGCAACTCTAACAAAAAATGAGGACCACCAAACCCGTTTTTGAGTCGTAGGGGAATAAAGTTGAAATTAGAGCCGTTTCTGTGAAGCTACTGAGCTATTGAAGCTATTGAAGCCATTGAGCTAAACCGCCTCCCGGTTAGCTCAATGGATAGAGCGCTGGATTGTTGTGCGGGAGGTCGAGGGTTCGAGCCCCGGCCGGACAAACACTCAGAGTCTTAAAATAATTGAGAAGAATTTGCTGCCTTTCTATAACATCAAGAAATGGTTAGATATTCTGGTCTTCTCGGATAGAGACGAATAAATGGGGGTCCCATCTCCTGCAGGGTTGGGGTAGGAGACGTTAATTTCCCACACACGAGATTACTGTGTGATGGATGTCCTCCCCTGGGTGGAATGGGTGGGTTTACAGAGGGCATGTGTTAGAAAACTCTTTACTGGGTTAATCATGTATTTACCCTCTTGAAATAAAGAACATTGTACTGAGCTGCAATGGTAACCTTACATGGCAGAAAATCTATCACATCATATTGCGAAAATAATTGGGGATTTTTTATACCATTTTTCATGCAAACACGAAAAATGGTGGCTTTAAAAGAACTAATGATCAAAAAATGACGAAACCATCTTGAACCACCTTGAACAAGCTCTTTACCTCTTCCAACGGTGAGGGCGTTTTAGGCAGTTAATCCAAAATTGATATCAATCAGATTAGCCGGTGAGAGTTGGAAGCGAGAGGATTTGTGCATGTTTCAATAACAATATAACATCCTCTCCTGGCGTGCGAGTTGAACAATATTTTAAGGTCGCGTAATTAAGGATTACTTAATTTATTTTTTATCCAACTTACTAGGTTCTCGTCAAGAGTTTTCTTGAGAAAGTTGAAAGCCTCCATGTACGAATCATTAAACATCTTTTTTACAAGCTCGTCGCTGCTGCACGGGGCTTTTGTAACGTTTCTGCTACATGATTCCGCTGACTGTAATTCAACCTCGCTTGAAAGTCGCCTTGATCTACTTAACTTGGCCAAAGGAATCGGCTCCAGGACCGCTCGAGCTGATGGCTGAGAGGCTCGCCCGAGCGGAACACTTGCACTAGTTCGTCTACAACGTCCGTTGGGAACGGATTTTGTTGTTAGTTTGCTTGGAAATTCTTCAGCTTTTTTGTGGTCTGTGTAATCATTAGTGTCTAGATCTCTGCCTTTACTGTCGTCCATGTCCACGAGGCGTGGATCATGTGAGCTGTTTTGACGTTCCAAACGTTTTTTTCCATAGTCAGCAAGCACGGCCTACGAGGATAAGTTTGAGACAAATGGACCTTCGTTCAGGGAACCTCTCGGCGTAGAGAAAATCACTTACTTAAAGGACAATCAGCTCGCTCTACCGTTTTCTGGTGAAATCCGTGCAGCGAATTTGGCCTAAATTGGGGTAGTTTGCAACTTAATAACTAAAAAATGTTGATAGTTATTATCCGTCAAATCTTTTCGCTCGCGCACGATTGCTTTAAACGTCTCTCATGACTTTTATGCCCCCGCTAAATCTACAAAATACCTGCTGTTTTAAAATAATTCAGGAATTAAAATTCCTGAATGATATTATTCAATTTTCAAATCTTGCGACGACCAATGTAATGAAAGGTTTCCTTTGAAAATCAATTCAAGTTGGGAATGCGTTTTGCTGTTATTAAAGTCCCTTCGAAAACCCTTTCGAAAGGCTTTACCGTTTTTAACAGTAACGTTTCTCGCTTTGAAGAAAGTTTTCAGAGATGATAACCATTACAGCCCCTTTTCTGGCTTGAAATTATGCTCATATCGTCTTTAGACCTTGTGTACTCTGCCAAGTTCAAATCTTTCCTCGTACTTCGCTCTCGAAAAACTGTTCGCCTATTTAAACAGATGATTTCCGCTGACTAATATATGGATATTTTATTCACTTTATTATTTTATTTTCACTTATTCTCGCTTCAAACGGTTTCCATAGTGATTTATATAATTTGTAGTTTTTCATGTTCAAAGACGTCTTGTAGTAAACTGCCACTGACCTGTGCCTCAGGGTAATCCCGTATAGCAGACAGCACATCTTCCTTTGCAAGAACAAAACACTCTACATATCCTACTGTCCTGACATCGGCTGTTCGTCTAGGAATTCAAAATATCCACACTAGTTTTAAATTATTAGGAAAGGAAAATCGTTGGCGTACTTCCAAGTCAGTAGGTACTGTGCCATTAGTCTCCAATGGACTATACTGTCACTAGCCTTACATATTTTAAAGTTAGTTCTCTCTTATGTATATTCTGAGTGTCCTCCGCGGCATTTAATCCTCGCCAACCCCAGTTGTCCCCACTTAAAAATCGTAGTCTTCTGTCGTTCTGTCCTGCCGTAGTTAATTGACGTAAAGATGTAATCTTCACTCCAGACGCCTTTAATATGGAAACCAGAAAACGCCGGCTTTAAGGCCAGAGAGGCTGCAAACATCTTACGTTTAGTACATGGAACGCTCACCTATTTTGGCCTTCGCTCAAGCTGAGAATTCCAATCTCACCAAAGAAGTCCCCTCCAGATAACACTTTAAGGACTTGGCCTTGATCCCTATTAATGAATGCATTTGAAAAGAACCTAACTATTAGACAGAAACCGTTTAACCTTAAGTCTGCTAAAGGAAAGTGAAACTTCTAGTAGGAGGACATCTACTGTTGGCATACATCAACGCATCGCTGCAGCTACATATAAAGTACCCTGCTAAAAACAGGAACTCTCATTAATCAAAAAGGAAACTTTCTCTGAGATCCCGAGTGCATACTCTTAATGGGTTTGACTGTGTTCTCTATGATTCTTACCCTATAACCTCGATCTTTCCATCGATTATGACATACATCTCACGTGCAACCTCGCCTTTCCTGCAAACGAGGTCTCCTGGGGTGAATATTCGTAGCTTCATTTGAAGTACAAGGAGATGGAGAAATTCTGGCTGGCACTTTTGCAAGAACGTTACCTAACATTCAATTAATGAAAAAATAAAAAAACATCAGCATGCTGCTTTTCCTTTAGATTAATGAATAAGATAAAGCAAACTATGCCTCAGCTGTCATCGATAATGTGATTGTGGAATAGATCCACCTAGAAAAACTGAACTGACTTTAAGTCTAATTTGCTCGCTATAGACAGACCTGACAAGCGATATAGTCACAACCAGATGGTCATTTGACAACATAAAAGATGAACGATAGACCGAGTAAATTCATCCTCAGGCAGCCCAAGCTCACTACTGGAAAAGCGGACGTGACTCTTACCGTGTTGCGCAACGTTTTACATTTATAAAGGTTTGTATGGGATGTTATCGGTTTGCCTTAAGAGAGAAAAGCATGTTATGTTTTGAAATAAAATGGGCTTACCTTATTGCCTTGTTGTTTTCTCTGTTGATTCCCAGCGTCTCAGGCCATTTTGAAGCGTTTTCGGCGAGTTAGCGCTATGTTGGTGTTCAACTGCTAAAAGAAAGTCTTTCTTTTAGCAGTTGAACACCAACATAACACTAACTCGCTGAAAACGCTTCAAAATGGCCTGAGACGCTAGGAATCAGCAAAGAAAACAACAAGGTAAGTCCATTTCATTTCAAAACAAGACATCTTTTTCTCTCTTTTCAGGTAAATCGATAACATCCCATACAAACCTTTATAAATATAAAACGTTGCGCAACACGGTAAGAGTCACGTCCGCTTTTCCAGTAGTGAGCTCGGGCTGCCTGTGAACAATTGAACAGAAAACCAAGATGTTAAGTGACAGTTACATTTCGGTATAAACTATACGATCATCAGACTGAAAATACATACAAAATTAGGAGCTTAAATAGTTACAAAAGGTATACTCAAGAGAACAGGCAAAGTTCTCTACTGGATTTTAAACCCTAAAACCCAGATTAGAATTCGCGAGAAAACCACAAAATTATTACCCTGGCTCCAGAGGTTTCTCTTTTTCTCCCTTTTTACAATCCTTTCGGGCTGCGAAGCAGCGAGATTGGCCGAGCTGCGTAGCAGCGTCTCTTGTAAACAGGGAGAAAAAGGAGAGAAAAAAGAGAAACCTCTGGAGCCAGGGTACAAAATTATGCTTCTTCACCAACAACAAAGACAAAGTACCTCTTCTAAACAAATCACACGTCGTCTAAAATTCAGTTGTCCCGGGTGTCAGTCATCCTACATTGGCAAAACTGGTTGAACCCTTCTCATCAGAACACGTGAACATGCTTTAACTGATAAAGAGAGTGCGATTTACAAACATCTGCGCACTTGCGAACATTTAACCTTTATCCATAATTTATTTAATATACCGGATACTCTAAATAACATCATCACACCAACTGTTTCCGGCAGTAATGAATACGCAATCAATGTAGTTCAGAATAACACCACAGTGTTAGCTTATGACGATAATTTGGAACCTGTTATTATGCAAAGAGGCCTTCCACATTAATGTTAAGCGCCATTCACCATCACTTAACAATGGATTAAAACCCAGCAGAGAACTTTGCCTGTTCTCTTGAGTATACCTTTTGTAACTATTTAAGCTCCTAATTTTGTATGTATTTTCAGTTTGATGATGGTATAGTTTATACCGAAATAGAACTGTCACTTAACATCTTGGTTTTCTGTTCATTTGTTGTCAAATTTAAAGACACAATGAATTTACTCGGTCTATCGTTCATCTTTTAAGCGATATAGTGTTGGAAGGCACGGTTTCAAGTCTCCTCGATTGTTTACTTTCTTCCGCAATTTACTCTGCAGTTGCTTTCGCGAAGTTTACAAATAAACTGAGTGAGGATTGTTACCTAGAACGCTATGTTACTGTGACGAGCCAACGGACGAAAAATTTCAAAGCTTCTACATGATGTTAATCTCATTATCTTCAGCCCCAAAAAAATAATTAATCTCCAGCTTATCCTACCTTTCGAAGTGTTTCAAGATTAACGTGAAGAGCAATGTCAGTCTTCAGTTTACTTGGAAGTAGCGTCAGAGAATTGAGGTCTCCTCCACCGGTGCTCATGCGACCTCTACATTAGAACAGCATGATTTTCAAATTGTCCTATGGCACAACCAAACTAGAAAATAACTCGTGCCGAGAAGCATGTTTTCCAAACTTATTAAGATGGTGGAGGGTTCAGTGAAATGACAAAACAATTTTAAAACGTTGATCAATAGTCAGTGATGAAGAGTGTTTATGATTGGAGAGCGACAGCCAACAGCCAATCATAGCAAGGAAAATATCACGAGGAGCCAATGAGGAATCGTAATAAAACAAGCAAACTGCCTGCGCGCGGGAAACACGCGTGTGAGCAATTCGCGATTGATTTTAGTATTGAATCTGATTGGGTGAGAAAGGAGCGCTAGTTTTCTGTACGAATCACGTGATTAACGACCAATAATGTTACCTGGCCCACGAGTAGTCATACCACATTACAACTCTTCTCTGTAAGTCCTTGGGCACATTATGTTTCTTCATGTACTGTTTGGTATTTTCCTGTAAAAGTCCAGATAATGAATGTTAGACAAACCCAGAATGATACGAGACGAAAGCAAACGATTTCAGTTTTAAACTCTACAAAGGTGAACTAAGGAAGGGAAAACTTACTCTTTGTTTTTCAAAATCCATTCTCACCGCATTTCTGTTCACAATTATGCTTCCTGCATTACCTGATCGAGAGAAAAAGCACGTGAGGACTAATTGAATGTTCACATTCTAAGTTGATATCCACAGTATTCCATGATATCCATAGTAAATTGAGGGTTTCCTGGAAACTTTGTTGTACCCACTTGCCATCCAAGTTCATTTTGGCTGTTGCAAAGACCCTAAAATTGCCCTATATGCCCTCTCTGACCAAAGCTTACAAAAATGTTATGGTCTGTAATATGGTTTGTCTCCAAAACGAGCTCGGGCGCCTCCAGACGATTTCAAGCGCGAAAAATGGTGTTAATGCCGAAAATCGTGTCAAGGCGCCTTAAACCACCAGGGCCCGGCAGTTCAAAGGGCGGATAACTCTATACAACGGATAAATCGCTATCCAGCGGACAAGTGAAAGCAAAAAATACTGAGCTATCTACCAAATAGAGATTTATCCACCCTACGAACAACCGTGCCAGATTACTTATATTAACTGAATTACCTACAATGGTCGCAAACATGAAAACACCGGTCAAGTAACAAGCAATTGTGTAAACATATCTGAAACAATGAGAAAAAATAATCAATTCAGTGACAACTTAGCAATGCCATACATCAATTAGATTACGAACGATAATCAATCCACTCAGATTCGCGCGAAGGATTACGGCGGGAAAAATCATTACGAGGCTCTCTTTTTTTACCTCAACGGGAAGGGAAACAATGATAGAGATCTGGGAACCAAGTAATGCTGAGCTGTTAAATATAGTTAACCTCAAGCACAGGGAGCCCAGACAAGCGAGGAGTCTGGTTGTTTATTCGAAATAGAAAGGATTGTATGGGAGAATATTGAAGAGTCTTGTTATCGTAAACTTATATCATGAAATGTCTAAGTTAAAGCTCAAAATAAATGTAAACCTACCTCACTTGCTGTGTATTTTCGTTTCTATGGCTCTAAATGGCGAATTTGAGCGATTTGGTGGGTTTTGGGTCGACTGTTATAAGAAGGAGACAAGGGTGGAAAGCTCATTTTCGACCACTCTAGCGCGAAGCCGATTTTCACCCAGAAATAAGAATCGCCCGGCTTCCAAATCAAAAACCAGATAAACTGAAAGGTTGATGCTTCTTCTCATCGCAGTCAATAGAAGATACATTCAAAATCCAAGCACTAACCGCCAAAAAAATTTCGAGAAATGCAGCTTTCGAAGCGATCAGCATACGCGGCCCCGATTTCGTGTACCAAGGAGCAACCGTCACGCTGTTTGCCCCACGCTGATTGGATGATGCTAAACAATGCCCGAATACAAATGCCTCATGTGGGAGGGGAGTCAGGGGCATATTCGCGCCAGCGATTCATCTACTGACTACTGACTAGATTCTTATTTCTGGGTGAAAATCGGCCTCGCGCTGGAGCGGTCGAAAATGAGCTTTCCTCCCTTGTCTCCTTCTTATAACGTAAAGTAACAGTCAACGCAAAACCCACCAAATCGCTGAAATTCGCCATTTAGAGCCACAGAAACGACAACACTCAGCAAGTGAGGTAGGTTTACATTTATTTTGAGCTTTAACTCAGACATTTCATGATATAAGTTTACGATAATAAGACTCTTCAATATTCTCCCATTCCTTCCTTTATATTTCGAGTAAACAACCGGACTCGTCGCTTGTCTGGGCTCCCTGTGCCTCAAGTAACAAAGAATCGGCTGAAAAGATCTTGTGTTTTTTGTTTTGTTTTTCTGTCTTATTTTGCGCCCAAAAATTTTTTTGCGGTTTTGTAGATTTCAAAAGAAAAAAACCGCCCCTGGCCATTCTAACAACTTTCGCTTAACGCACCAGATCACGTACAAGTGAGGCTGTCGCTTCGCCAAATCGAGCAGAGGTTCCAGATGTTTCCCCAAAGACTTCACAAGTCTACTTAAAAATTCTCATGTTATTTGCAAACGTCTTCCTCTTTTTAGGTTAAAAACGACGTAAATGTTATAAGAATTTAGGATCAAATAATCGTAAAGTGTCATTGCAGCTTTCCAGCGTTATTAAGAAACTTCGACAAAGCTTTAGGGCTGGTAATTTATTTCAGTTGACTTATAAGATTAATATGATCTGTGCAGGCGACGAACTTCTCCACCTTTGACTAAAAAATTTCCTTAATAGCCAGCTTTAGAAAAGATCGCTGCCGTCTTTAATACTAAAAACCGGCTTTTCGTTTGTAAACTGACTCACAAATTTAACTAAGTTGATACGGGTTTGAGGCATTAAAACAAGCCACATTCCATGTCATTTTGTTCTGGGTGACATTGTACGAAAAAAAGTTAAACATAACGAGTCACTGTACAAAACCAGAAAGTTTCAATTGCTGATTTTGAATGAAATGCCCGCTTTTAAAAACACCGAGTTGTTCACAAACAATCAAGTGCTCCACAACAAGTTTCAGGTCTCGTCATAGTGTCTTTCGTTCGGTCTTCTGGCGACAAAATGCTAACATTTCTCCAGCATCTTCTCTCGTGTTGTCGTTCCCTTTCGTTTGTTGACCACATGATGGTTACAGGCCATAAATTGAAATTTGTCAAGAATATTTTGTAACACCTGCTTGTAATGTATATTAAAAACCATTTTTGGAAATTAAAAGGAAGCCTAAAATTGCATTTTTCAAAACGGGAAAAGGAAAATGACTGCCGAGTTTCTTATAATCCACCTGCCAATTGAAAACCCTAAAACAAACATTGAATAAGTATATAGGAACAGAAAAAGTAGCTAAAATTCTAATCGCGATTTTTTTGGCGCTGTTATGCAAAAACTTGATGAAACTCAACAAGATTTACAACCTGAGTTGATGTGCTTTTCTTTCGGCAGTAAACAAACGTTATTTATCTCAAATTCAAACCTTGTTTTCATGCTTATAGAATAATCGTGATTCTTGATTTTAAAATAAGTAATACGCGGGTAAGGAATTCCCGAAAACAAAACATATTGTTTCCACCAGTTGTGCAAGCGTATTCAAGGTTTTAATTCATTAGCCAGTTGAAAAAATAGACGGTAAAAAAGCACTGATGTGTATTGTCAAACGGTTTCATAATGTCCTTGAGTCACGTCAAAGGAAGAAAAACAAGATCAATATTATGTTTGCAAATTCACGCCGAAAAATCGTTAGAATAAAATAAATCTATGTCAAACGATGGCGAGTAGAATCGACTTAATCTATTCGATAGATTATTTTTCTTGTTCTTGGTAACAGTTTTGCTGTAGGTTTGAAATCGAGAATTTTTCATGCTAACGCACCGGTGAGGAAGTGTTTTCCAAGCTAAAATCAAGCAGGACGCATTTTTTTTTTTGAGCGCAAATGAGCAGGTGGACACTAACAAGGGGTCAAAACATTTTCTCGTTAGAGTTAACACAGCAAGCTATACAGCAAAGAAAAAACTTAGCAGGGTTTCATCTAATACAAAAAATCTTTGACAGATAAGCGCATTTATTAACGCGCTTTTATGCGATGAAGGAAAAAAGTCAAAAGAAGAGAACTTACATATTGATGAAATGGACACAAGTGGTAATGAATAGGATCACACAAGTCCTTTTGACTTACTTAAAACTTGCATTTAAAAAATTTTCATTTTTGTCTTTGTTTTGTATACCTATTCCAATGCTAACTTGAAAAATCACCCCATTATTTTCTTATCGTTTTCTATTTCTCTTCAATGCAGGGCATTAACAGTAATAAATGCTTGGCCGTCGTAGTATCTTCATTAGTAGCGTGGGCGCTTTGGCGCAGAATGCTAATGTGCATCTTGAACTGAACTCTAAAACCTAAGTCTTAAAAGCTGAACGCAACATGTGCACAATCCCTACGGGCTTTTAGTCGATCTATTTTAAAGCGTTAATGTTAATCAAGAATATTAAAATTATGCAAAATCATGTGCAGAATTTTAAATCTTTACGAGAGAGTAACGTATTAAATAAACTGAAAAATGAAAACACTTTTTGTGTTTGTATTTGCCAGCTTCAACTCCTTCAAAATGCCGCCTTTTTGTCGGCAAATGTCTCAACAAATTTTAGACGAGCAGTAAAATCTTCTTCACATATTTATTATATCGTAAAGCATCTCGTTCTCACCCGAGAAAAATAAATAAACAAACAGTCGGACAACGAGACCTACTATAATCTTGGCATTTAAACATGTCTATATGAGTTACACAGTTTAAAATTACCTGAAATAGGAACGCAAATCACTTACTCGAGATTTGTTGTCGGCTGAGGTAAATCTCCGATTGCAGTTAGAGTTAATGTGGACCAGTAGAATGACTGTAGATATTGCTGATACAAGGAACCATTGCCTTGATAAACCCACTCATTTGTTCCAAATCCCTCCGCTCTGGAAATCATGAAATAAAACGCCGCGTTCCAGTGAATAAGAAGGAACATCAGATGCATGAGAAAAAAAACGCGTAAGAAAGTGGGATAATTCGCTTGTGACTCCATAACAGCTTTGACACGAAAACTCTTATAACCTTTAATAATCCGGTTGACTCTTAGAAGCGGAAGAGGGCCTAATGCTGCATATAAGATATCAGTTGGAATCAACGACACCACGTCAGCAATGAACTCCACAGAGCGAATGTACCGCATATACACTCGTTTTGCATCAATGACTAGAATGCCCTCCTGTAGGAAACCTGTTCTCGCAGCAATAACGACGTCCAAAATGTAAATTGCATCGCAGAAATAGTCAAAGAGAAACCAAACTATCTTCAAAAAACCGCTCTGAGCTTCAGGAAAAGCGATCCTGGTAATCAATGCCCATAAATTGTACCGAATTGCAAACACAAGGACATAAAACCAGACACAAATGTGCATCCCGTCCGGATCAAAAATAAAATTTTTATCCTTCCAATGAACTGCCTGGTCATATTCGTAAACAGAGCCACTAGCTAACTCACTGTCAAGTTCTTTTTCGATTTCTATAGAAAGCTGCGGTCTTCGAGGTTCTTTAGTAGAGGCTGCATTTGACAAAACGCTAGGCGAAGAGGAACTTTTCTTGGCAACCCTCGTTTTTTTTCTGTTCGGTGGAGTTATCTTTCGATTATCTCTTGTGCTAAACTTCTGAAGGAACGGGTCCACCATGGCAGGGGACTTGACAGCCGCCGAACGCTTTCGAGAGCGAGAGCCGGGTTTGACGGAGTTCTTTACCAAAACAGCATTTCTGATTTGTTTCGAGACGGTTTTCCATTTTCCGAAAGATTCTATGCTATCCCCGGAGTTGTCTCTTTCATGTTTAGAGTTACTCTCTGTTCGTGCACTATTGTGGCTGCTTTGATGCTTTGAGCGAGTTTGTCTGGCAGCAGTTTCGTCATCTTCCGAGTCCTCGTTATTTTCGAACCTCACGGCTTTTTCCATGACAGTCAGGCCTCATTTGAGTCGTCCCTTTGGCTGCATTGTATATTTGTCCGTTCGTTTGCTCTTGAGTAGGAGTTTCCTAAATAAATTGTTGCATAAATATCAGCTTTTATAAAACTCAAGAGGACACTACGCGTTCGTCAAATCAGTTAAGGGTCGAACAATGGATCTCATGAGAAAAATCAACTCTAAGTTAACAGAGTGAACCGACCTCTTTCATTTTACCGCAAAATTACGGTTTTGCTAATTGTGTTTTAAATATTATGGTTTCACATTTTCATTCGACGCTTGTTCAAACAATAACTTGGAAAGGAACTGTCAAAGGAAGTAGTTATTATTTGTCTTCGCGTGCTATCTATACCCTAAGTCTCAAGAGACCAATCCGGCTTTTTATTGTTATTTTAGATGCATTGTGTTATCGGTATCTGAACCACTCTTGGTTTATGTCAGTTGTTTAGCTCGGGAATCTCCGTTGTCAAACCGCATTCTCTTAAACCAACTACATTATGATTAAAGTGCGGAAAATTGAGGAATAGATCGAACGTGAGAGCAGAACGATTTGTACGTGTCTCCAGTCTTTGCCGGGTAAGTTCTATTGTAGAATGAACCAATTATACCGTGACAATTATACCGTGACAATTATACCGTGACAATTATACCGTGACAATTATACCGTGACAATTATACCGTGACAATTATACCGTGACAATTGTACTAAGATAAAAATTCAGTTGGACAAATAAAATCGAGGTGCCCAGTAATATTTAGCGCAAAGTCGGAGATTAAAACCTCGTAATCTAACTAATTAAAAGAGACTACAGAATTCCAACTATCAGTAAACAAAGCTCCATGGCAACAAGTTCAAAAAGGTAAATCGCGTGAAGGTACATGAAGCATAGCAAACAAAATTTCTTATCTAAACTTTTCACGATTTCTCCCGAACCTAAGTACCGGTACCTCAAATTATCTAATAGAGATGCGTTGGGGGAACGAAAATATTATTTGAGATAAGGATGTAGTTGCAAATTTTGACTTATTGCCTCGTGGTTAGTGAGCCAATCAGTTTCCGAGTTTGACAAAATTGTTCTCATTTTCATCTCATGTTTAAGCGTCTTTAAAGGGGGAATATATTAGCAAATAACTAGATAAAAATATACAAATAAATGAATGAATTCAAATAACTACAGACGAAAGTTGCCAGCACACGAGGTGGACGTTTCTCATTGTCTCGGGCCCGTGACAGGGTGATTGACATTTTTCAGAATAATTTCAATTTCCAAATTCGAGAAGAAAAAATCTGTGTTGACATTCAAATTTGGTTAAAGCTTCGGGGATTCTATTCAAGTTACCGGCAAACAAATTCGCAGCGTTTGCTCGACATAAAAAGCGATGACAGGCCTTTTTTTTCCATTTAATTTCAAAACTACAACCTTGTAAATTTTTCGAGGGAAACAAGCTTGATTATTTAAATGGAACGCGATAATGTAAACATTTTTCATTTCCACCTAAGGTGGATTCAACAATTGGAGAAGCGTAAGTATGAACTCAGCGAGAACTGCCAGGTTTCCATTAAACTGCTTGATCCCTAAACGAATCGTTAGTTACTAACGAGATAAATAAACTGACTATGCATTGAAGACGGGTGTTGGTGATAATTAATTCTTAGAAAATGTATTAGTGCATCCATTGTGTGGTAATTTAATGGCAATGATGAAAATAAAATATACCATCCGCTTATTAGCAGATGTATTACGAGTGATGGAAAAATATGGAATGGAGCTGTTTATTTTTTTTGTGTCTGTTCTCAAGAGTTTCAATTTGATCAAAAAGCACGTTTAGTCATGTGATAAGTTCCATAAATCTCTCTCCCTCTCTGTCACTTTCCATTTGTCAAAGCAACTGCCGATCTTTGAATAACAATTAAAAGTACAAGAACGGTAGACCAAAAATAATTGATTTATGGTAATGACAAAGGTTTACTCGCTTTTTAAAAATAATTCCTCCTCGATACATACATACAGTGAGCTAAAAAGGAAAAGCTTGGTTACTTTTACTAAGCTTTTTACCACGAATTTAAAAATATAGAACTGATAGGTTATATCTACGTAGTAGGTAAGAAATGTAACATTAAAAGCAAAAAAAAAAATCAACTTTTGCTCTTTCTCATTTCAATTTCGTTCATATGAGTCAATTCATATATTGCGAAATGCATTTAAACGAACGCGTTTTAATCACACGCCTTTAATGGTAGAACAGTCATTTTTGCTAATGCTTCAGATGAAAAGGTTTTCCCTAATATAAAGGTAAAATCATTAAAATTAGAAGTTTTATCGCAGCTCGTAGAAAACAGCGAGTAGACTGAGTTTCACGCTCTGTTCAGATCACAACCACAGACGAATGCAAGTTACCAAATTATACCATATAAATTTAAGGACGGCTGTGATATTTTCCTAAACATAAACGTTAACACTTCAATAACCGATGTTGAATCTCAGAATCTCAACAATTTCCAGACCCTTTGCTGCAAAGGTCAAATCTTAGTATGGAAGCAAAATTTCACTCACCTCATGTCAAGTTCCTCCCCGTTAAACATAGAAAGTGATCTGCGACCGACTTCATACGGGTATTATTTCACAGTGAACTGCTCAGATCAGGTTATGATGACGTCACGGCTGGAAATAACTCGCGTCTCGCCATGTTTCATTCAAAACATCAAAATAATTCTCTTACATATTCCAACACCAAAAGCAGAAGGAAATAAAACAACAATAAAAATAAATAAATAGCGAAGAAATCCAGTCAACTATCTCACGTCGTGAAAAGAAACAGAAATTTTCCCTACGTTAACGTTCCTTTCAAAACTGAAGAAATTTGCATGTATTATCGTGTGATGTGAAAATCTACGTAAATATATTAAAGTGACTGTTCCTATTTATTGAGAATAATTACTGTTCATTACAGATGTTTCAAAGAACGTGCCTTCCGGACGCCCGAACTGTCTTCAAGATGACAACAAAATCACATGACATTGTCATTGTTATATTTCAATATCATAGCTTTTAAAAAGCTGTCCTCATTTGATTATAATTTTTTTTTCTTTCCTCACCAAAGTAAGGTGATTTGTACGCATTTCTTTAATTAAATTCATTATTAAGTTTACCCATATTAAGTCTCTCCCCCTCGCAAATAGTGCATTTTAACTCTTACGTCTTTCTCCGGTAAAAAAAAGTACATGAACACCTTACTTTCAATTTCCTCTCAAGCATTTCGAGTGAATTCTAATTTCGCAACCGAGTTCTTGATAAAAAGATCATGAAAACCCATTCACTACTTGGGCAGGACTCACAGCGGTACGTGCCTTAATTCTATCTCTTGAAACTTGTTTGCTGATAAAGATATTTTCAAACATCAATATTAGTCGGTCTTTTCTTTGAAATTGATATTTGTCTATATGATCACCATCCCCCATTCACTGCTATCTCAGCGTAAGGTGCATCCTCTTTTCCGGTGTTGAAGACCAGTTGTTGGGAAAAAGCACCGCATAGACCAACTGTTGCCGGAAAAACAGATTCAATCTCCGTCTTACCTGATTTGAAACAACCCGCTTCAATGAATGAAAACCTTTTACAATAAAACTTTTTAACAGATACTATTTCAATTATTTTTTACTCTCTAATTCTCCCACTCTGTGTCGACTTCAAGAGTTCTCATCTCAATGAAGTATGAAATATATAGGCCTATAGCAAACCAAGCTGATTCAAAGCCATTCAGTGCTCTCAGCAAACACGTTATTCGTAGTTAATCTCCAGTAACTTATTTTCATTTTCAGTAAAGGCATTGCAACGGCATTGCACATCACGTAAGGGCCTCATAATACTTTGATAAAATAGTCGTCTTTACCCGATACATATCTCAGTTCACAACACACAGAATGTCCTAATTAACAAGCCACAAATAAAAATGAAAGTAAGACACTTCATAAGGGAAGGATCAAATTGACACTCCTTCCCCTCTAGAGTTAGTGTCACGACCGAAGTAAATTTTACAGCGAGATAAATATTCCTGTTTAGGCAAGCTTGTTTTCTGTTTAGAGATTAGATGTGGTATGGCGCTAATGTTTAGTATGGATATTTTGATAAACATCAACACATGTAAAAGACCGCTCTACCGTCCCCTGGCGTGTGAGGTGGTAGCTGTGAAAATAATTTAGGAAGTAATCATCATTTAATTCATATGAAACTTCATTATTCCCCTTGCTTGTATAAGTGTTTTCAGTGACCTATCTCACCTCAAGTACCAATCTCGAGCTCTAAATCTTTTCGACCCCCTCCCCCCTCACGGTGGCTTGGTCCGGCAACAAAGCCGCTGACGAGGAGCCTAGGGCTCCAGATTGAGCGGTTACTTCAAACCTGTCTTCTACTTTTCTTTCCCTGATAAAAACTTGCGAAACTTTAGATGGTCAAATAAACTAGTCTTATTTTGAAATGCTCAAACAATAGTCGTGATATTTCTCCAACGAAGCCGTTACAGTAAGGTAAAATGTGATACTGGGCTTCTAATCCAACTATCAGATGGCTAATAAATGCTAAACAGCTGGTCAACATATCAGTTATTTCTACCAATGAAAAGAAAATCCATGGAAGCAGTGTCTCTCCTATGTAACGGTGCCGAAAGTAGGCTCTTAGAAACATATTACCGCTACGAAAACTGTTAGAGAGAGCTCGAAGGATCATCTTCAAGAGGTGAGTGTTATGTTAAACGCTCAAGGTTAGACAAACAAACTAAGTCGTTTTCAAGGTATGGTGTAAAAATCTGGAATAGTTTACCGTGTGAAATTCGTCAAATGTCCAAAAATAACTTTATAAACAATGTCCACGACACTATACTCCGAATACTTTCAGAAGAAAATTATTATATTGATTTTCCCAACTTAATAATAAAAATTTCCGGCTTCTTATATTTGCAATGTAAACTTAATTAAATTGAGTATAAAGTATTAAGGAAAAAAAAAAAAAAAACCAACGCCCACAACAAGTCCTCCCATGCAAATAATTCTCAATCACAAGAAAAATCATGCAATTGTAGAGACAAGCACTCTTGTCCGCTAGGTGGCAATTGCCCAATTCAAAATGTGGTCTACCAGGCCACAGTTGAAAGTCCCTTGGGAACCCAAACGTACATCGGCCTTACTGCGAACCAATTTAAAACAAGATTTAGAAACCATACAGCTTCATTTAGAAATGAGAACAAAAGGAACGCAACAGAGTTGAGCAAATATATCTGGTCCCTAAAGGATACTGAAACAGAGTTTGCCGTCACCTGGAAAATAATGGCTCGCGCCAGGCCGTACTCGAATACAACAAAGAGGTGCAATCATTGCGTAACAGAAAAATTTTTCATCATATGCAGAACAGGGGCGGGCACCCTGAACAAAAGGAATGAACTGGCGAGTGCGTGCTTGAACCACCAACTTATAAAAGGATCGTTAGTCAACCAGTATTTTATACACCTGACCAGAGAGGACTACCAGACCCTTCCGAAACAGTTCTGTAGTGCGAAATTTTCATTTTTATTTTCCTACACAATTGATTACAAAGCTCCATGATTGTAGAGCACTCTCTGATTCGAGGATAAGGTTTTTTTACGTATATATATATATATATAACATACTTATAACCACTGCTTGCCTCGACTAGCTAATCTGCTAACTGCGGGCAGTGGATATAGCTTTCTGTAATATTTGCCATAATTAATAAAGTTGAAGCTGAAGGCTAAAGACTACCAAGTGATGTAATGGTCTGTAATAACAACAACCTTTCAAGGGTTGGGAAAATTAGACAGTAGCATCAGTACTGCGTTTTTAACATCCCAAACGTCTTTCCTGTCCTGGGTGAGAGATTACCTCATGATTTGAAAATAAATTCAAACTTCAAATAGTCGTCTGCTCATGCGTAGTACCGTTCTTTCCTCCTCTTCGAATTTGCACTTGCATAGTAAAATCCAAGCTCTTTGGAATCAAAAGCTCTCAGAGGCAAACTTGCGAGTGGATTAAAGAAGCAGCGAGTCACTGAACTCAGATAACAAATAAAGGAAAGAGTGCTGAGACCACTAAACTGCGTTAGTCGGAACATCACTGTCGAGGGTTGTAAAAAAGTAGAACAAGGTGTTGATCTTTTAAGCACTCGCTTGCCGCAAAAAGAAAAAAGTCGTGGTATTTCTGTTTGTCGGCCTTCAGCAAAATAAATTGTCTGGCCACCACTGACAAATCGCAAATTATTTTTCAGCTACTTGCAACCACCGTTACATAATTGCATCTGTCTGGTGAGAAAACTACCGGAGGATGGCGACACGGACTGATAAAGATAAATTGCTGATCACCCTGTTCTATCGTACGAACCTGCCTGGTTTAACTGGGCTTACGAGACGACACTCGCGTTTTCAGTAAACACTGATTTATTCCATACGACTATCACTTCTGTACAAAAAGACAAACTCATTTTAAACGAAGCTTTATTTCAAACTACGATTCCCTTACCTAGTTCCATCACTGATCATTTGTTCATTGTGAATCTATAACAGGATTCAGTCCAGAAATGTGTCTCTATTCATTCACTGGGAGTTAGTAGAGCCTCGTCACGGTGTTTTAAAAAATGTATCCTAAAAATTGTAATTTCTTCATTTCTTCATTTCAATGGTAATTTCTTCATTTCTTCTGACTTCTTTGTACCCTTAGTTGCTTTTCTACCTCACAAAACTAACGGCTAAATGTTATAGGAAACTTCACGTCGCGATGGAAGCTAGTTTAACGTTAAGACAAAATGTTGATAACGCGCATGTCGCAAAAGACCTACTTGGAGGAAGTACTCGTCAAAACGGGCGCAATCGGTAATTACCGAGATAAGCCCACTGCGGCGTTCATCTCTTTCCCCGGTCGGTGCAAGTTGACCACAGGTCACGTTAGATACGGGAAGCGCATCGGAAACGATTTCAGGGATGAACCATTTATGACAATACGCACTACGTTTGTCACAATTACAGGGTTTTCCTGATTTTTTATTGCACACTAATCACTTTGAAGGTTCTGGCGAACTGGAAACTTTTGATTTCCACCTCTGAAAACATGATACTTGTAGAAATTTAGATATTTCATTCCCACAGCGCAGACATAATATTGATACAACAAAACACATTGCTGTCTGTGCTTGAATGAATAGGTACCTCAACAGGACAAGTTACCCACCAAGCAAACATAGAGAGCAAGGAACAGGAAGCAGACAAATCTGAGTCTTCGTTGAGAGTAAGTACCACACTGACAAACACCAAATTAGTATCTTACAATCATCGAACATATCAATTGTAAAAGGAAGACCTAAAGATATTGTAAAATTAGGTATCCTGACGGGGTAAAAGAACTACGCTCTTAATCAGTTAGTTAACACTGTTTTTTTTTTCTTTTTGTGTCAACGTAAAAAAATAAAAACTCTGCGTTTCTTGACAGCACTTCCCGTTTCTAAAGTCACGAACGTTAATCCTGCTTTAGTAGTTAACTTAGCCTTGCAGAAATCTACAAACATAGGCGACTAGTAAAAGTTTGCGAGAAAGTAAAGTACTAGCTTACTCCAGAAGTCAGCATTTCGAAGCAAACATTGCAAACTCTCACAGGCTTGGTCAATTCGTATTTTATGATGGGTATCTGTTTGGACGAACATTTGGCACATAAAAGGCGGCCACAGTGGCGACTGAGGAGAAAACGAACAAATGTTAAAGAAAAACAAGGAAACAAGAGAGTAAAGTCGTTATCCATCAACAAACTTTCTGATGGGCCAGGAAGTCAAAAGTGTTAAGGGTAAGTCGCGCTAGATATTTTTACAACTTTAAAATGAGGGCCACTTAACAATCGAAAGTGGTCTAGAAAATTTGACCACTATGGCGACGATTAATGTTGTCGATAAGAGAACAAACCCATGCTAAACCACTGTCGATTCCGATGTAAAAAAAAAAACAAAAGAAGAAACACAATTCTTTCACGTTGCGTGACAAGTTGACGCGAGCAGCGTTGTCTGTACTATTAAGGAAAACGGCAAATTGGCCAATCAAATTGCAACATTACTGTCAATTATGGTACAATTTGCTATTTATCCAGCTCCACATACTACCCATGACTGGTTTAAGTTTTACGGGTAAGCACTTTAAACTCAGTGGGTTTAATTGATCACAAGGCATGGAGACCGGTGGTGCCCCTTGTGGGACCTATACCACCCACACAAACACACCGAAAAAACCAATAACTGATGCACTATGGTTTCTCCTACACTGCTTCTAAGAAGGTGCGAATAAATTACTATTTCTCACTCACCAGTGATGTTTTCTAGTTTTGACGGAGAATTTGATTGAACACTCGTGACACACTGGCCCGTCAATCCACTGTGGCTCGGCGTTCAGCATATCTTAAATGTACATAAGTAAAAGTTGTTAAGAAAGGACATACACTTGTGTCAGTGTATTACAGATACTACTCCCTAGACATAAAAAAGATGGCAATTTCTAAGCTAACTCAGTATGTGTTTAAGGTCTCCACATAGGATGCACAACTCCCCGTCAGCACCGGAAACTTGACTTTTTAGCCGTCAAGGAAGATGCAAAAGCGGCAATTTAGAGCCATGTGACCACCAGGACATGGGATCCGGTCGTGTACTTCAAACAAATTGAAAATTTTGATACGAAAGACAAGTAGTCGAGAGAAACCGTTGCTCTTTGCACCATATTTTGGGACAAAAAAGGGTTCTTCAAGGTAGCAGTCTTAAGAAACAGTCACAGTAATTACAAGGGCCAGCTGCATAACTCTTCCCCTCCTTTTTTTGAGTTTATCCAGCGCTTGAACTCACCAAGTAAGGTGTAGAGAAGCTTCTTCGTTGGTACTTGCGCGTTAAATATCGATACGCCATGCTTGTTTATGGTCGCAAGGCTTCCACCCGCCTTCAGCAGCTCACGACATAATCGAGCTGCGCCATTGGTGTAAGCGAGAAACAATGCTAGGAAAAAAATACAAGGAGTTGCATCAGCTTCACATACTTCCATTGAGTCTGACAACGATTGAACTCATACATTGACTAGTTTAACAGATCAGTGGGTGGAGGTTTTGGTGGTGGTGAAAGGGAAAGAGGGGGAGGGGGAAGAGGAAAATCAGAGAACGCGTAGAAAAACTGTCGGAAGAGTTATGCGACAAACTCAACACGAAACCAAATGTGGACGACAGGTTCGGGATTTGCACCCAGGCCACAGCTGTCGGAGGTGAGTTCTCTCACCCCTATTTTCGTTTTCTTCTCGCTCTAAACAGCTTACACGTTGCGAGAAAACTACAAAGATGTGATCAAACTTTAAAACCAATAATACACCCTTCGACTTACAGACACGTTACATTCATCACTGTATAACTCTTACCTATATTTTCATCCGAGTCGAGGGCATTAATGGGATAGTCTGGCATCGATTGGCGAAACAGCTCAAATACTGCCACTGCGTTATCTTTGGCATACTGCGCTAAAATGTGCAGTGGATTCTGGCCACTAAATAACCACATAAAAAACAAAGAAGAAGAAACAACGAATCGATAACAACATTCGATAGAGAGCATTTCTCAGTGCAATTGATACATTTAATATAATTTTATAACACACTCTTGTCACCGAAACCTGTTGATTAACAGTTTAATTGGTTCACTTTGGCCCGTGCTGATTAGCCGTTACAATTGTAAAGATTTTTTTTAAACGATATTTCATTCTGACAGCTTGAACACGTCCCTCCTATGAATGCATTTCGAGTGAAAATCAACATAGTATGACTTGAACGCCACACTAGGTGAACCACAGGACACCCAAACAAAACGGATACTCACCGACCATTGTAAGCTTCTGCATTAATGGATGATTCAGTAAGTAACACACGAACAGCTTCCACGTGACCACACTGTACTGCTACATGTAGTGCTTAATCATAATAAACATATATGAACCACATCGTTAACAAATGTTGTCCAAGATTCCTACCAATGTTTTTTTGACCAAACTTGTATTTTGAAGAAAGTAAATTATGCAATGGTTCAGATTACTGCATTAGTACATGGGGAAAAATTGAGATTTAATAACCTATGACAAACAGCAGAATTTGTCGATGACATTAACGCTACACAACCATTTCAAACGCAAAGCGATCTTGAATGCCGGAGGAAGACCATTTGCTATTTATACAAAGCAGGCGAGAAGAACGCGGGGTAACCAACAACAAATCCATTTCGGTGAGAATCAGGGCCTAAAAAACAACAGATTACATGGCCAGTCCCCTAGCCACGCTGCATCCTATCTTCTACAACAACTGAAATACCGTTACAGTCTGCAATGATCATGTAGCTGACACCAGTAACGAAACGTTTAAACCAGATACAACCCATCAAAGATCTTAAAAGTGAAAATACAAACATTGACAATACCATTATTACCTTTCTCGTCCATAGCATCTGGATCAACGCCGTTTTCTAACAAAACACTGACAATGGAGGCACGGTTATTAGCAGCTGCAATGTGCAATCCTGTTTGACGATGTTTGTCCACATCATTCACTCTGCTGCCGGCAAGAAGCTGCGAATCAAAAAGAGGCGACCAAGATTCTTAAATCCAATTCTATGAAGTTCTATATGTAAGTTGGAAGATCTCCTCTCCTCAATGAACGCATTATTTCTTTTGTCATGATTAATAAAAGCTAAAATCTACATTTGTAGCTGAATAAGAAATGATAGCAAGTCTAAATTCTTCTTAAAACCTACAAATAAACGGAAGGGGACGGCAATTCATTTCGGAACTCAGACGAAAATGGACGAATGCAATCGCCTCTTCAATGTTCTCTATCCTATTAGACGACCAACAAATAGTTTCCTTAAGTTTTAATTTTGTAGGTTCTAAAACAATGACACACAATACCGTTACAATAAACTACACCAGCAATAAACTAGTAAAAGAGCACTAAATTCCTACCAAGTGTCTGACAGTTATTTCCGATCCCGCGCTGACAGCTAAGTGCAACGGTGTTCTGTGGGAGGAGTCCTGAATTCTAGAGTTGACATTAACCGACACACCAATCAGAAACAACACCGTCTCCACGTCTACATTCTGAATGGCTAAGTGCAAGAAGTTGCGTCCCTTGGAGTCGAACTGGAAAGATTTATATATTTAATTATGATATTAACGAGTAACCGTTGTACACAAGCTGAAAATCGAAGCTTCATTGGCCAGTTGGCTCTAGTAATAATAATAATAATAATAATAATAATAATAATAATAAACAGTTTAACGTGAGAAAAACTTAGCTGGAAGCTAGTTTACAGGTTTTCAACGAAACAACTTAAATAAATAATTCAAATTGAAAATAACGCTGTTAAGAATCCCAACTGGCCGAAGGCAAACCAGTTGGCTATATTACAAGCAAGCATGGCCGAGGATTCGAAACTCGGGGCTACCGTGAAACAAATCCAAGTAGCGGCCAAGGCGGGACTTGAACCCGGGAGCGACGGATTGCAAGTCCGACACGCTGACCACTTGACCATGCTGCCTTCATGTTCCTTTTTTGTACGACAAATTAACCTAGTTACTAGTAATCGACTTTTTGCTGTCTTGAAGACTATCTTGCCTTCTCACAGATGCGTATTGAGTTTGAAACAAAAGGAAAAGATCCTTAAGATTACCGGTAGCCCTTAAGATGACAGACTGTTGCTTTTGCGTGGAAATTTTTTAAATTAGCTAAGCTTGTCTTTCCTCGTCAATTGCTTGCTTTAACTCTCTA